CTTACACACCTAACGAGATTTGAACAACCACTTATGAAAGGTAAACAGAGCTGATAGTCTGAACCTAACCAGATGATTACCTACTAAATGAAAACATTAACATACTAACTCAAAATAGCATATTTCATACAAAATATGTATGAAAGGTTAGGTCAAACTATAAAATCTTTGAAAAGGAAATGGAAGGGAGATTAGTCACAGAAAATTTGGAGCTAATTAGAGGGGCGAGGTGTAATATTCCTAGGCCTTCCCTATACTGGACTTGTGAGCCTAATTTGTTGCCTGCTACCCATCTTGTTAGAGACATAAAGATTAATATTTTCTCTGGCCTAATATTTTAAAAGGTAAACTTTTTAAAAAAGGCTTTCCTAGAGATGTCTTTAAATTATTTCTGGCATTTAATTTCAGAAACTACATCAAGCAGCTTGCTTGATTCAAGCTTATTGGAAGGGTTTTCAGACTAGAAAGAGATTAAAGAAGCTTACATCTGCTGTGATTGCTTTGCAGAGGAGTTTCAGGTAAAAAAAGAAATTGGTGAAGGGAATTATGATTTGAATCTTAGTACAGTTGAATTGAAACTTAGGTGATTCTTTTTTCAGTTTCTAATATGTTTTCTTTTTTTTTGTTTTCATTCTTGTTCCATACATTTCTGAGTATAAACATTTCAGTAACCAAAAGTGCTTTCAAAGCAAAAAACATAAGTCAGGAATCTGATGTGTCAAATACACAATCCTCTGTCCTTAATAAGACTTTTATGTTTACCAACCCTACAGAGGGACCCAATTAGTTATATTTTTGAACCCTCAAAACCAACAGTTGTCATAGTTGTATGTATGATTATGATAAATACATGTATGAGTATATGAAGGTTAATCTTACTAGATACGATCATTGAGATATGACATAGTTTATTATATATCTTTATTTCAAGTGGACAGAAAATGAAATTCCAAAGATATGGCCCACTTTGTAATATGACTGATCCATCCAGATTCATAAAAGTGACAGAAAAAACAACCAAAAAAATGACTTAGCTTGCAGGTCATTTATAATAAAGTAGAGCCATCTCAGAGATGATTTTTCATGCAACATGGCTTAAAGGCAAATTTTAGTTCACTAAAATAAAATTGGCATTATGAAGTAAATTTTTAAAAGAAAACTGAAACTATTCTTTTAATAATTGCTGCTGCGTTTCTCATCTATTTTAATATAGCTGTGGGATTCAAAATATTATGTTATTACTGGTTGAATAACTTGAACCAGTTAGTTCCTCTGATTGTCTCTTAGTGGATGTCCTATTCATTGATGAAAGTTTTCTTTAGAGAAGACTTAAAGATAGGTTATAAATATTAATTGGGCATAAATATTGTTGGTAGCAAAGAAATGCATTAATTTTTTAAAAAGTATCAAGTGCATAATATATCTCAAGGGATGGACTGAACTTGTATTCCACTTTAGCAACTTATTCAGTGACTTTGAACAAGTTGCCTTGCCTCTCTCAGCCTCAAATTTCTAATCCATAAAGTAGAAATAATAGTTTACATACCTCAAGGGATTGACATAATAAAATATTAGAGATAACAAAGTTTTTAGTATATTACCTGGCACTTAGAAAATGGTAGGAGGAAAAAAATGTATATGGTATATTTTCTGCCCTTGAAGATTTACGAATCTCGCCAAACAGATGTATTAAATAAATAGTACTCGTGAGAAGTAAGGCAAGTGTTATACACCTAGCATTGCTCTAAGTTTATTGCCTATCCTATAAGCTATTTCTTAAAAAAACAATTTTGAAAAGCATTTTTGTGGTCAAATAAATTTAGGAAATACTGAGTATTTCTGAGTTCTTCTATTCAAAAGAGTCTGAGATGCTCTTAGTATTGCCTTCTCTGGTGAACTCAGACTAGTCATTACTTTCAGATTCTACCTGCTATCATCAGCTATCTGTTGTCTTACCTTCAAAGGTATTTTATATCATGGAGTCAGACCTTTGAAGTTCAGTCCTACAATAGTTGCCAGATTTTCCCTGTGCTTTTTCTTTTAGTATTGAAAAAGTTAATTTAAAAGTATCCCAAGAGTATAGATTTTGTCCTCTTAGAATTATACCTGTGGAATCTAATTAATATTCCACTATTTTAAAATGGAAATTCTATTGTTTTCTTTATGTAGTAAAACCAAGGCAGTTATAGATATTTGCATTTAAAAAAATTAAGCTAAAATGATTTAAGTCTCACATTATGTGTTTGTTTTCTTTCTGGTATTTTGAGTTTAAGATCCTATAATACATTGGTTTCTGAGTTTTCAATTTCAAGTTTCCTCCAAGCTTCATTTAGCATCTTTCCTTTTCTGTTAGTTGCATAGTTTATGCAAATAGCTCTTGCTTCCTTTGTAGCTTTCTGCAAAGATTATTTCTGTCTCTTTGTGTTCAGGTCGTTACCTCAGAGTAATTTCCCCCACTTTTGGGAGAAGGACTGCTCACTAGTCACACTTATGGATCCAGATTGATCAGCATTCTTTAGATTAAGCAAAGAGTATCCTTCCTAAATCCCTGTCAAAGGGGTTTCTTTTTTATGTAAGCATTGCTCATGGCCAGAAATTTTATTTTCTATTAAGCACTTACATAAATTGATACTCTGATATCCCATCAGTCTTTTCCTTATCAGAAGTGCAGATACACACAGATGGTCAATGCCTATCAGTTCTTACAAAGAAACCAGTTGGATGACTAATTTTTGAGTGATTATAGAAAAAAGTAACAAACTTACTAAGTAGGAGAAATAACATTCAAAATCATATCAGTTCCTAATAAATGTTTTATACATGAAGATAAAGCATATGATCCAGCATGCATTATTTGTAATTTATGTCATTATTTCATTCGCTGAACCTCTTTTCTACTGTCTTTCTGGTTGTATTTTATGTCTGCCTTCATGCTTCATAGTCTTTTCAATTTTGCCATATGTTAAACCTGCATGCCCAGTTCGTTTCCTCATCCCAGATTCTGGCAGATTAGGTGTTCTACCGGTGCAGTTTTAATGATTACTATGTTTCCCGTACTAATACTATATTTAAAATATTAATACTACAGTATTAGATTTTATAACCTATAACAAATTAGAAGTAGAAACAGAGATGAAGTTTTTAAAGTCAATTTGAAAGGAGACTCTGCTTAGAGCTTATTCTCTTTTATATTGTATAAGGGAGTAAACGACACAACATTGTTATCTACATGCTATAAAATGCAGAATTTTTTGAGGTAGGAGTTCTTTAGGATAGGCAAGTTGCTATCTTCTATTTTTTGAAGAGAGATAGGCTCATACTACTTTATCTTTAACTTTGGGAAAAAGCAACAAATACTTAAAAACTATTCAACTAGCCCTACATCCTCTCCAGAACCCAATCTTATTTAGGCATGCACATACACTTTTGAGGTCTTCTCTACTGTTTATAATAGGTATAAGAAAGAAATTTCAAAAAAATAAGCACTCAAGTATGACCTAAAAGGAAAGCCAGAGAAAACTCAAATTGTAATGGATAAAAGTTTGAAATTATGAGAAAACAAGCAACCACACACATACAAAACTTGATCAAAGTAATTTTGTAAGTTTTCCTTTTCTACTCTAAAACATTTCTTTCTTT